TAGTCAGAAACTGTTCGTTATGTTACACTGGCTTTTCTCTTTGTGTTGTCTTTGATCTATTTGCTTGGCTTTAGCATTACAAAAGAAAAAAATCAAAACAAAACAAAACCCAAGTAAAATAATATATTCAGTGGAGATTCCCCAGGATCTGTTCAGATTACCTCTTTTAAGTCTTGTGGTTTTTTTCCCCCCATTTTTCCTTAATCTTGTGTCTGTCATTATTTAAGGTGGTCTTCACACTGGAGACCTCCCCTTTCCTCATCTCTGGGTAATTTAGTAGACACTAAAATTACACGTAATGTTCCCCTCTCCTCTCTTGTGTTTCCTCTGTTCTTTTTATTAAATGTTGGTTATTGATTTTCTAAAATCAATGTCTGTTGTGGGGCTTTTTTTTCACCCTTACAAGTATCTAAAGCACGTTGCTGATCAACTGGATAACAAAAGCTTTGTGTCAAGGAGCCTTTTTTTCTTATGTTAAACAGTCATTTTTTCGAGAAAAGAGAATGAGGTTTAAAGCGAGGTTTCCAGGAGTGCTCTTTCGCAGTAAAGACTATTTTGAGTGTTTGTTTCTTATCCCTTCCTCCTCCCACCCCCTTCTCTTGGTTTGGATACAAATAACTAGTTTAGCCTTACAGTTAATGTAAAGACATAACATAGGTCTAGGAAAAGTGTATACCTGGTTTCTTGTTTTCTGAAAACAATTTAATGGAAAGGGGAAAGGGAGGGACTATATGGGGACTCTGCAGGTGGAACAGATAATGAGTATAATCTGTAGCACTAGCTATAATAAACAATCTTAGGGAGCAAATATGAACCTGAATGACATTTCTGTTGCATCTCAAAAAACTATGTGCTGTATATTCAATAGCTTGGGAAATCCTGAACACTCTGGGGAGGAAAGTTTAATTGCAAATTTCAAGTATATCCTCAAGACCCTGAAAACTTAATCTAAAGTCTGTACGTTGTCTACATGGTTTTCCACCCTTACTTGTCTTTCTTCAATTAATTAATTGGGAAGATATAGTTTGTTTCTCCAGTGCTTTTCTTTGTGTTCAATAGTTTGTTTCTTCTTGCCCGAGTAATGTCCTGGTTTTGAGAAGCAGGTAGAAGAGTTTTTCATTTTCTCTCTAGTCAAGCACGTATCCAATGCCTTTCCCTTTGGGAATTGCCAGGATTTATCTAAACTGAGTGGATTTTTCTTCTCTCCTGGATTCATGGAAAGGATGTCACTTCTGAGCTTGTGTCTTGGCTGATAACACTAAATATGATGATGCTTATCAAATCATATAGAAATTCCTGGAAAGGA